GCGTAGGGGCCGCGAGGGGCCTGGAAGGGCGGCGACGGGGCCGCTAAGGGTGGCGACGGGGCCGCTAAGGGTGGCGCGAGGGGCCTCTAGGAGGGCTCGACAGAAGGGTGGCCCACGGGGCGCGCCTCAGGCAGGAGCGACTCGAGCTCCGGTCAGAAAAATCGATTTTAGTGGTGGGCCCTGAGAACCGTTCCCACTAGGGAACCTGCTCTGATACCATGTGAAGAAATGAGGAATGAATGAACTAGGAAAGAGGTGGGTACAAGTAGGAAAACCTAGAAATGTTGTACCCCATATTGTCTACCCCACTACAGCCTACACAGACTATAGCATATAAGTTTGACACAAGGAAGTAGCGCAGAGCAATGTGCTTCGTTCTGTGCTCCAGTCTGTGCTCCTTACACAAGGCCAGCATGGCCTTGTTGTCGACGTACAGAACTGGAGAAGAACGAGGCGCCTCTCCCAAGTCGGTCAGCAGGTAGGTGAGCCAGCGTAACTCCTGTGCATCCATGGCCCCAGCATAGATCTCAACCTCACAACTGGAGCCGAGAACAGAAGACGAGTGGGTAGACCGCCACGAAACAGAGCCGGAACCAAGGCTGAAGGTGTAACCCTGTGACGACCGCTGCGTAGACAAGTCGTCAACCCAAGAAGCGTCTGCGTGACCAGTGAGGACAACTCGAGCCCGTCCTCCAAGCACTAGCCCCAAGCCCGACGTACTACATAGGTAGCGCAACACCCTCTTAGCTGCAGCCATGTGCTCTGGTCGGTGTCTCCCAGGAGCAACATAGCGTGCCAAGATGCTAAGAGGGTATGCCAGGTCAGGTCGAGTGCAGGTCATCAGGTACATGAGGCAGCCAACAAGCTCTGGGTACGGGCCACTCGGCTCTACGGACTCATCCGAAGGCAGAGCTGAGAGCGAGTGGCGAGTAGACAGAGGAGTGGCCTGAGGCGAGGAGTACGTGAAGTTGAAGCGCTGAAGGACCTGCTGCACCGTGTGTGACTGAGTCAAGGTAATGGTGCGCCGTGCTCTGTCCCGGGTGATCTGCAAGCCAAGATAGCTGCGCAGTTCACCCAGGTCTGTACACGTGTGTCTCTTCTGCAGCTCCGACTTCACGTGGGCGAGTCCCTCAGTGTCAGCAGTGGCAAAGACCAAGTCGTCGACGTACACGAGGATGTAGAACGGCGGCAGCGAAGTGTCGGTGCGCAGAAACAGCGACGGGTCAGCAGTAGAAGGAGCAATCCCAAGAGCCGCAAGCGTAGTCCTCAGTGTGTCGTGCCACTCACGGGGCGCCTGGCGGAGACCGTAGACTGGCCGCCGGAGGCTCCACTTGGTACTAGGAGGACACGACCCAGTGAAGCCAGGTGGGCGGCGCAGCCAGATCTCCTCGTGCAGGCTGCCCTGTAGGAAAGCAGTGCTGAAGTCAAGAGAGTGAAGCTCGTAGTCACGCTGAGCAACGACGTGCAGCAGAACCGAAACAGTGGTCATCTTTGGGGTCGGGGAGAAGGTCTGGAAGAAGTCAACTCCCTGTCGCTGATTGAAGCCTCGAGCAACGTAACGCGCTTTGAAGACAGGCGGAGAACCCGGCGGTCGCTTCACTCTGAAAATCCACATGCCACTGACGATGTTCGCCCCAGGAGGGGGAACCTCGTCGACGTAAGTGCCTGTGGACTTCCAGGAAGCCATCTCTGCGTCCATGGCTGACTGCCACTGAGAGGAGTAGGGACCCTCTATCGCCTCTACGTAAGAGCGCGGGGTCGGGATGTCTGGTGCATCCGGGTCTCCCTCAGGTGCAATCAGCATGGACACGAGATGAGGTACAGCGGCAGCAAAGCACTCAAAGTCCTCCTGCCTGTCCTCAAGGACGTCCGTGCCAAGAGCACACTCACCCCCGACGGACGGAGGACAGACAGACGCAGACTCAGCAACAAGACTAGCGGCGTAGTCGAGACGACAGTGAGTAGCAAAGTCGACAAGCTCAGCAACTAAGGCAGACGCAGCAGTGGACTCAAAGGAAGGGTCAGTGACAACAGTGGCCAGGAGACGCGTGACAGTAGGACTAGCAGCATGAAGGAAGTCAGACTCTGGGTCAGAAGGGGCAGGAAGAGAGGACGCAGGAGGAGACGGAAGAGGGAGACGCTGTGGAGCAGTGGAAGGGCGTAGAGCCATCCAGTGTGTGCCAGGGACAGGAGGAGGATGTGACGCGAACCACGATGACTAGTGCTAGCAGCACGAACAGGCGACGCAGGACGAGACGCAGGCTTACGACACTCAGCAGGACCTCCGATCGGACCAGTGTAAGGAGAAGGAGCAGGTATTGGGGAGGCGGGCTGTAACTGTGACTATGACTGGACAGGTGGTGGACGCCCTAAGGAAGGAGGAGGACCAGTAGAAGGCGGAAGACCAAGAACCTGCTGAAGGAGAGGAACGTAGTACGGCCGCGGCCGCGCAGCGCCTTTAGAACCAGCAGGGACAGAACCAGCACCCCTAGTGGCAGCTCCAACTCCAGCAGTACCACCAGCTCCAGCAGCACCTCCAGCAGCACCAGATGCGCCAACTCCAGCACCCATAGGAACACCGGCTCCAGCAGCACCTCCAGCTCTAGCACCTCCAGCTCGAGCAGCACCACCAGGCCCAGCAGCTCCAGTACCTCCAGTTGGAGCATCTCCGGGACCCGTGGCCCCAGAACCCCCAGCAGCTCTAGCAGCAGCAGGACCTCCAGTAGCAGCAGGGCCTCCAGCGCCTGAAGAACCACCAGCTCCAGCAGCATGGCTACAGCGCCGAGCAAACCACTCGCGCAGCTGTTGTGGAGAGAGTGGCTACCGCCGGGACGAAGCACCCGAAGGACCTCCAGGCTCAGCACCACCAGACTCCACACGAGCAGGCTTAGCACCCTCAGGCTCCGCACCCCCAGACTCACCAGCCCCAGGCTCAGCACCCTCAGACCCAACACTCAAGGCTCAGCACCCCCAGACTCAGCACCCGCAGGCTCAGCACCCCCGGAATCAGCACCCGCAGGCTCAGCACCCCCAGACTCAGCACCCGTAGGCTCAGCACCCCCAGACTCAGCACCCCTAGGCTCCGCACGCTCAGGCTCAGCACCCCCAGACCCAGCTGTCAGAGGTCCACTGGTGATCCCCGATTGATCCTAAAGAAGGGTTACAGGCATGTTGGCCTGGGGGGTTATGGGCGCACTGACCCGCTACATAACAAGCCCTTTTATCCTAGTGGTTAGTGGTTGGGATTCTGACATGGTATCAGAGCGAAGGTCTCGGGTTCGAATCCCAGTGTGTGCACTTCGGGCATCCCAGTGCGGGGGGGTGTCAGAGGTCCACTGGTGATCCCCGATTGATCCTAAAGAAGGGTTACAGGCATGTTGACCGTGGGGGTTATGGGCGCACTGACCCGCTACGTAACAAGCCCTTTTATCCCAATGGTCTAGTGGTTGGGATTCTGACACCAGCACCCACAGGCTCAGTACCCCTAGCAGCACCAGAGTCAATAGCTACCTCGACAGGCTCGACTGCGTCTACCACACCTGAGGGGGCAGGACCCTGAGGGGGTAGGGGGTCTACCGGGGGAGGACCTGGCGCGAGGAAGAGCGGCGGGGGGGGGAGGGGGGCAGTGCGGTAGGGGAAGAGACGGTAGTAAGGAACTGACTCGTCAAACGTGACGTCCTGAGAGGACAGAACACGGCGCGAGGTGGGGTGGTAAAACTGCCAACCAAGCGCATCAGGGGGGAAGCCAAGGAAGACGCAGGCAACAGCACGGGAGTACAGCTTGTCCGTAGACAAGTCGCGGACGAAAGCTCGAGATCCCCAGACACGGAACGCAGACGCGTCGCCCACCTTCCCCGTCCACGTGTCCGGGGTGGTCTCCGGCATGGAGACCCGGGGCTGGAGGTTGAGCTCATGCGCCGCATACTGAACCGCGAACGGCCACAGAAAATGGGGAGCAGCCGCATGGATCATGGATGTACGAGCGACATCCATGACCATGCCAATGCGGCGCTCAGTAATCCCAATTTCCTGCGGAGAGGCCGGAAGCGTGAACGTCTGGCGGATGCCCTCCGCATGACAGAAGGCTCGCAGAACGACCAGCAGAAAGTAACGCTCGTGACCCTGGCCACGAACGCGAGCTGGGCCCCACACGTCCATTTGAAGCGTCTGCAGGAGAGCTTCCGTCGGAGGGAACTCGGAGGAGTGAGGAGCGGCATGCTGCTGCCCCTCGACGCAAGGAACGCAGGTAGGGGCAGGCCCCGGGGGAAGGGGAGGGAGCGACCGGGGAAGACCAGTGACAAGGACATAGGAGGCCATGCCTCAGAGACGAGGCAGGGAGGGGTGACCAAGGCGGTGGTGCCAGAGGAGAGTCTGGTGAGACAGGAGACGACACGAGCAGGGGGCAGACTCAGGTACTGACCGGGACGCTAAAGCAAATACCTGACCCGATGCAGCTACCTGACCAGACTCAGCAACCAGAGGAGACACGGTAGTCAGAGTGTACAGACTCGACCCAGGCTGACGGGAGAACGTGGCCAGGTGCCGGCCCGTCCGAGTACACGAATAGTGGGTCACCTGTTGACCTCCAGGAGTGAACTGGTCAACCCACGCATCCTGAAGGTCAGCTCCACTCACCAAGTTCGTGGAGAACGAGAGGAGGTGGAGGCCAGACAGAGAGCCAGACGGAACCGCCGGACATGGCAGAACCGTGGACGAGTGTGCAAGGACCGGAACCCCAGAGGGGTTAGCAAGAGAGACTGCCACTGGCCGACTGAGTGGCGAGAGTGTGGTGCTGTCGCGAAAGAAGGAGCGGGAAGCACCCGAGTCAAGGGTGCAAGTGTGCAAGGCCGCAGCAGGCGCAGTACCAGAGAGAGCAGACGCACCAGCACCTGGAGCAGTGGACTCACTAGCGCCTAGAGCAGCAGCCTCACCGGCACCTAGAGCAGGAGACGCGCCAGCACCTAGAGCAGCAGCCTCACCAGCACCTAGAGCAGTAGACTCTATACCTGGGTCAGGCGGCATACACAGGTAACAGGCACCCTCAGCACTAGTAGGCAATGCATACATGGCAGTGAGGATAGCATCATAGTCAAGAGCAAAGATATCTACCCTCTGCCTAAGCAGCTCCAGCCAGGAGGGGAGCTCAGCGTTGTCGCCAAACTCTGTACGCCAGGCGTCGCTCAGACTGGCAAAGCAGCGGGACTGTGTGTGACCAACCGTCTCGCAAGGCTGACAAGCCCGAGCACCAGTGCGAATGACGTACGGGCAGCGAGCAGTACTCCATGACCCTCTACTCTGAGCGTACCACTCACGAAGCTGCTGGGGCGAATGGACCGCGCGCGGACGCTGCTGCAGCTGCACCTGGTCACTACAAGAAGCTCTCGAACGACCCGCCTCAGGGCGACTCCCACCACGGCCACCCCTACAACCCCAACTAGCGTACCACTCACGAAGCTGCTGGGGCGTGAGGGACTCACGCGGACGTCGCTGGAGCTGCATCTGGCCACTGCCAGGAGCAGCAGTAGCAGTAGTAGCCGTAGTAGCAGCAGTAACAGCAGTAGCAGCAGTAGTAGTAGTAGCAGCAGTAGCAGCAGTAACAGCAGTAGCAGTAGTAGCAGTAGTAGCAGCGCGGCCACCCCTACAACCCCAACTAGCGTACCACTCACGAAGCTGCTGGGGCGTGAGGGACTCACGTGGACGTCGCTGGAGTTGCATCTGGCCACCGCCAGGAGCAGCATTAGCAGTAGTAGCAGTAGCAGCAGCAGTAGCAGCAGAAACAGCAGTAGCAGCACGGGCAGGGCAGTGTGGCTCAATAGAGCAGGGTTGCACAGCTCGGCAGCACGACACGACTCGGCTGGGCGGCTCGGCGCTGCAAGGCGGCTCAGCTCAGCTGGGCGGCGCGGCTCGGTTGGCAGGCAGGCACGGCAGGCAGGCAGGCAGGCCAGCGCGGCAGCGCGCTAGTAAGGCAGGCGCGTGGGAAGCGCGGGTAGGGCAAGTGCTCACCAGTGGCGGGAAGGGCAGTTGCTCGCCGGGCGAGCAGGGTAGGCGCACGACGGCGGCGACGGCGGGGCCGGGACAGCTGCAGGGCGGGGCCGCGACAGCGGCAGGGGGCTCCGCGGCAGCTGCTGCAGGGCGGGGCTCCGAGGCAGCTGCTGCAGGGGGGCGCCGCGATGAGCAGGGTGACGCCCCGAGGGCGCCACGACGAGCAGGGACGGCGCCCAGGGGGCGCCGCGACGAGCAGGGGCGACGCCCCGGGGGCGCCGTGATAAGCAGGGACGGCGCCCAGGGGGCGCCACGACGAGCAGGGGCGACGCCCCGGGGGCGCCGCGACGAGCAGGGAAGGCGCCCCGGGGGCGCCGCGACGAGCAGGGAAGGCGCCCAGGGGGCGCCGCGACGAGCAGGGGCGACGCCCCGGGGGCGCCGCGACGAGCAGGGGCGACGCCCCGGGGGCGTCGCGGCGAGCAGGGACGGCGCCCAGGGGGCGCCGCGACGAGCAGGGGCGACGCCCCGGGGACGTCGCGACGAGCAGGGACGGCGCCCAGGGGGCGCGGCGACGAGCAGGGGCGAAGCCCCGGGGGTGTCGCGACAAGCATGGACGGCGCCCAGGGGCGCCGCGACGAGCAGGGGGGGGACGCCGCGCGGGTCCCGCAGGGGCGTCGCGACGAGCAGGGTTTAGGGCGGCGCGCGAGCTGCAGAGGCAGCGCCCACGGGCTGCAGGGGCAGGCACGGCTGCAGAGGCAGCGCCCACGGGCTGCAGGGGCAGGCACGGCTGCAGGGGCAGGCAAAGATGCTCGGGAGGGCGGCGCGCGGGCTGCAGAGGCAGCTCCCACGGGCTGCAGAGGCAGGCACGGCTGCAGGGGCAGGCACGGCTGCAGGGGCAGGCACGGCTGCAGGGGCAGCACGGTCGCAAGGGCAGCACGCGGGCTGTAAGGGCAGCGCGGCTGCAGGGGCAGCTAAAAAAAAAAAAATCAGTTAGGGCAGGGCGGAACGTTTGGTGGGCCCTAGGAACGATTCTGCTCTAATACCATGTGAGAATAAGAACGAGGAATGAATGAACTAGGAAGCAGGTGGGTACAAGTATGAAAACCTAAAAGAGTTGTACCCCATATTGTCTACCCCACTGCAGCCTACAATATAGTTCTGACAAGAGCAGCGGTGAAGATCTTCATCGACGGAGGGGCAAGTCACAGTTTAGTTAATAATGCGACCGCACGGAAACTGCAGCTGGCACTTAGCCGGTGTTTATAGGAGGTAGATGCACGCTTAGTTGACGGCACGCCGCTGGCCATACAGGAGAAGGTGGAGAGAGTAAAGGTCCGCTACGGGGGGAACTTTGGGTTTACACTGGAAATGCTCGCGACGACATTGGATGAGCACGACATTTTACTGGGACGTGATTGGTTGCGACGGTATAGCCCGCGAATTGACTGGACGACGGGTAGCTGCACTGTACCAAGTAGCGGTAACTGGGTTGAGCTATCTCGCTGGCAGTAGCCTGAGTCTTCAACGGTCCACGTCAACGCCATCACAATGAAACGAGCCGTCGCCGCTGGAGCTGGCGTGTACGCAGTGGACATCCCAGTAGTAGGAGAAGCGGAATAGCCGAGCAATTTTCAGAAACTGCTGGCAGCGGTACCGCCCAAACTACAGGAACTGTTGAAACGGTACCCAAGAATTTTTCCCGATGACTTACCGGAGGGACTGCTACCTCAGCGAGCACACGACCACCGAATAGAGTTAGAACCGGGGTCATAGCCAACCGTACAGCGACCGTTCAGACTGACACAACCCGAGCTCGACGAACTGAGGAAGCAGTTAGATTACCTGTTAGAGAAGAAATTCATCCGACCGAGTTTGCCACCGTTCGCCGCACCGATACTGTTCACACCGAAAAAAGACGGAGGGTTTCGCATGTGCATCGATTACAGAGCACTGAACAGGGTAACAGTCAAGTCGCGATTCCCAATTCCCCGCGCCAACGAACTGGTAGACCAACTGCGAACAGCACGGGTCTTTTCGAAAATAGATTTACGGGGAGGTTACCATCAGATTCGAGTTGAACCAGCAGACTGCGCCAAGGCGACTTTTAGGACTAGGTACGGGTTATTCGAGTACACCGTGATGCCATTCGGGCTGACCAACGCACCGGCGACATTTTAGATGACCATGAACAAGGCGTTTCTGTGAAAGTTAGCAGGCAGAAACAGAATTGAAGAAAGGAGGAGTTTCACTAGCAGCAATTGGGATACATATAGCAAACCCTAACTGGGTTGTACTCGCTATAGAGCACCCCACTACAGGCTAGATAATAACATTCGGACACACCCCCATAGCCAAAGTGGGGTGTAATCAGCACAATGAGCAGGCATAGCAGGAGTTCACAATAATAAGCAAAGCTAGAGGTAATCACAGCGGGCAAGTGAGGAGGAGGAGGAACTGTGGAAGGAGAGAAGATGGGAGGCAACGACTGAAGCTGCAGAGGCACGGGCACAGGAGCGGCTGACTCAGTGGCTACCGAAGCAAGGGCGACGGACTACTGGAGTGACTGGCTCCGCGGCTAAGACGAGCGGCAGGAGCAACGGACCCCCATAGCCAAAGTGGGGTGTAATCAGCACAATGAGCAGGCATAGCAGGAGTTCACAATAATAAGCAAAGCTAGAGGTAATCACAGCGGGCAAGTGAGGAGGAGGAGGAACTGTGGAAGGAGAGAAGATGGGAGGCAACGACTGAAGCTGCAGAGGCACGGGCACAGGAGCAGCTGACTCAGTGGCTACCGAAGCAAGGGCGACAGACTACTGGAGTGACTGGCTCCGCGGCTAAGACCAGCGGCAGGAGCAACGGACCCACTGGCGACTGGTGCAACAGGCTCACTGACTACCGAAGCAAGGGCGACGGACTACAGGCGCTGCAGGCGACACGACAGCTACCTTCACACAACCTCCTCCAACTGACCCACACCCTTGACACACACCCCCTGCTGAACCCCTAACTCCACTCCCACGTCACCCCCCTAGCGCCATTCCCCTCGGCTCCCACACCTCCACCCCCCTCAGCAGCAGCTGTAGCAGTGGAGACGAACAAGGAGGTGGAGAGAGGGAAGGTGAGTACCCACACCGCGCACCCCCATGCTCGCCACCCCACCCCCCTCCACCACCGCGGAACGCACGGCGGCACGGGAGGAATGGGCAGCACGGGGGGGGGGGGGGGGGGGGGGGGGGGAAGACGGTACAGGAGGGGCCGCGCGTCTCTCCTCAGGGCGCCAAAACGGACGGGCAGGGGGGCGCGCGCGGCTCCCCAGGGCGCCGCGACGGACGGGCGAGGGGCGTGCGCGGCTCCCCAAGGCGCCGCGACAAGAAGGGCGGGGGCCGCACGTGCTCCCCAGGGCGCCGCGACGAGCAGGGCGGGGGCCGCGCGCGGGTCCCCAAGGCCGCGCGACGGGCAAACGGGCCACGCGCAGGCCCGCGCACGGCCTGCAGGGCGACGCGACGGGAAGGGCGGGGGGCTGCGCGCGGGTCCCCCACGGTAGTAAACCGCCGCGCGCCTCGGGGCGCACGGCGGGCAGAAAACCCTAAAAAAAATTCGCAGGAAGAAGGCGTCGCACGCCACGGGGCGTGCAACAGACAGAGTAGTAGCGGAAGCAGTTGGGTGGTGGGCCCACCCACAGGATCGACCCAAGGGGGTCGACCTGCTCTGAAACCATGTGAAAGTTAGCAGGCAGAAACAGAATTGAAGAAAGGAGGATTTTCACTAGCAGCAGTTGGGACACATATAGCAAACCCTAACTAGGTTGTACCCGCTATAGAGCACCCCACTACAGGCTAGATAATAACATTCTGACAGTTTCGGCCACTTTTAGATAAATGCGTGATAGTTTACCTCGACGACATCCTCGTCTACAGTCCGGATTAGCAACAGCACTTAGCAGATCTGGAAGCAGTATTTAAAATCTTAGACGAGCACCGGCTCCTCACCAAGGGTTCGAAGTGCGAGTTTTTCCAAGACAGGCTGGAGTTTTTAGGGCATGTTATTTCGTAGGCTGGGGTTGAAATTGACCCAAAGAAGCTGGACACGGTAAAAGCGTGGCACCCACCGACGAATATCACGGAGTTGCAGAGTTTTTTGGGGTTCGTCAATTATGTGCGTCGGTTCGTCCCCGACATGGCACGGTTAACAGCGCCACTCACAGACTTACTGCGTAAGGGGGTCGCTTTTACATGGGGGGAGAAAGAGCATGCTGCCTTCTCTGCCCTGAAAAATGTTCTCTGTTCACCGCCCGTACTGCTCATCGCCGACCCACACCGCCCATTCGAAGTAGTTAGAGACGCAAGCGACATCGCCATTGGAGCCGTACTGCTACAGGATTTCGACAACTGATTATAGCCCATCGCATACGAGTCCCACAAACTGCATCCGCCCGAAAAAAATTACCCGGTACACGACTGCAAAATGCTTGCAATCGTGCACGCATTCAAAGTGTGGCGCTGTTACTTGACCGGCGCCGACGTGACAGTACGTACAGACCAGAAATCGCTACAGTACCTCCGCGCACAGCCACACCTCAACCCACGACAGATCCGCTGGCTCGATTTCCTCGAGTCCAATTTTCACTACACGGTCACCTACAAAAAGGGGGCATTGAACATCGCCGACGCACTGACCCGCCCCACAGCCCAGATCCATGTGGTACTACTTGCCCAGACCAGCCCACTACTGACAGGACTATCTACCAACAAGTACCAAACGGATCCATTCTTCACAGGAGGAAATTCGCAGCAATTCGCAACAGCAAAAGGAGTTTGTTACGTAAAAGCCGGCACTGACCGCATCTGGGTACCAGGGTACTCACTACTACGGGAATTACTATTACAGGAAGCACACGACGGAGTTACCTCAGGCCATTTCGGGGTAGAGAAAACACGGCAGCAGCTGCAGCGGTATTATTACTGGCCCGAAATGTTGACCGACGTACAGCGAGACATGGCACCGTGTCCCACTTGCCAGCTCATGAAATCATCACGGAAGCAGCCGGCAGGACAGTTGCAGCCGGTACCACCCCTAGTGCGTCCTTGGCAGCAGGTGACGATGGGCTTCGTCACGGGGTTACCAGCCGGAGCGATTGGGAACGACGCGATCCTGGTCGTCGTCAATCGGCTGACGAAAATGGCACATTTTTCAGCCTGCAAGAAAGCGATCACAGCCGAAGAAACAGCCCGCCTCTTCATCTCCACCGTTGTTCGACTGCACGGGATACCAGCAGCAATCATCAGCGATCGCACCATGAAATTCACCAGCAATTTCCAGCGGAACCTGTGGCAGCAGTTCGGCACGCGACTACAGTTTAGTTCTTTGTACCACCCCGAGACTGACGGACAGACAGAAAGGACAAACCAGACCATGGAGCAACTCTTCCGAGCCAAGTGCGACGACCCGACCACTTGGGAACAGCAGCTGCCACTCATCGAGTTTGCATACAACTATTCGCCATCCGCCACGACCCAACAGTCACCGTTTTACCTAAACTACGGATAAGACCCCAAAGTACCTATGACCCCAAATCCCGACAACCCGGTGCCACGAGCGCAACAGTTTGCCG